CAAGGTCTACAATTTTTACAAAGGTCATTTTCAGGTCAGGTCAAAGATGACGTCACAGGGGTCGAAAAAGTCAAAATGGCGGCGCTAGATATGGAGAGTTTTTCTCGAATAACTTTCGAATTAGTCGAGATAGGAACAAACTAAGGGCATCATCGTGATCCTCTCGTCAATCCGCATCGAATGATATATATGTTGACCTCGAAAGGTCAAGGTCAAAGGTTGACCTCAGGTCACGTGACCTCGAGGTCATCATGTATATCATTCGATGCGTCTTGACAAGCTGAACACAATGAGACCATCCGCGCGGCTGTATCTTGTTCCTGTACGGAGTTATTGGCGAAAAACCTTTGGTGACCTTTGATGACGTCACATGACCTTACAGCTGCCCAACAGCAAAACAGACATCAAGGTAGTGAAGGTTGATCGTATATGAAGTCATGTATGGTATATGGGGCCATTCCGACCCGTTTTAGTGGTAAAAACAGGGAGTTGATTTTTCCCCCATTGACTTATAATGGGAGGTCGCGAAATTGACCTGACCTTAGGTCACAGACATCAAAATTCTGAGATATACAAATTGTAGCTACTAATGACCTAATAACATCCTGCGACTTTCAAAGGCCTCCGACATCTATTGTAGCTCTGGCACGGTGACAAAGTTGCAAAAAAGTGACTTGAGGTTGGGTCATTCAAAGTGACCTGGTGACCTGACCTTAAAGGTTAGGAGGTTCAAACTTGCACACCATGTGTAAAATTGATGAGAGAATAGTCGTACAAAATTTCGCGGCGCTACGCGCCGCGGTTTTCCCACTATCCGCGAAAAACCTCAGGGGGGCAGTTATCCGCCCCCCCCGTCGGTGCGCGTGTTAATTAAAACCCGCGCCCCTTAGGGGGGGGGGGCATCAATTTTACACATAGTGACCAAAGATTCTTCCAGGGGCTATGATAGGTTGGCCACAAATGACGTCAGAATGAAGTCATGTTCTGGCATTTTCGACCGAAAAAAGGCCTTCGTGAGGAGAGCTGTCACCTGTCAGGCCTATAGCTTTAAAGATACAGAAAAATGATCACGACATAAAAGGTGTAGAGTTGATAGGGCTACAAAACTGCTATCTCGAAGTTTTGAAATTGTTGAATTTAAACCCCAAAATAAAAAAAAACTTTTTTTTTGATATATTAGCCAAAAAATCATTTTTTTTAAGTTTCGAAAATACCGGAATATATGTGATAGCACTTACCGTGTTCTATCTACATACCAAATTTAAGATCGATATCTCGTTTTTTGGCCAAGTTATAGCGAAAAACTGCTCAAAAATGATTACGTCAAATTTTCAAACTCAATTTTTGGCATTTTTGACCATGTAGGGCAAAACAAAGACCACCATTAGACTCCCATGACGAGCTGCATCGAATTGATGCCCATTTTATGCAAAAATATCAACTTTGAAACTTGACCTAGTTTGACCTGACCTTGACCTGACCTTCACCAAAACGTGACCTAAGCTGGCCCCAAAGGCTGCCTGACCCACATACTCACATTTATCATGTAAAATGGACCATAAAACATGTATCACACGACACTTTCATATTGTGACCCCCAGTGACCTGACCTCTGTGACCTGACCTGGTATCAGTGACCTCAGATAGCAAAGTATGTGTTTGACGAACAATGTACCATCGATGGTTTCCAATGACTTGTCAATTTACGCGATTTCACAACACATTTCTTGAAATGCCTGTGAACGGTGAAAATCCGACCTTTGACCTGACCTGTGACGTCATCGGTTTTACCTAGGTCAATGAAATTTGGTCACCAGGTAGTTCCCCAGTGAGGCTATTGAGCGCCGTTTGAATTTTGCAAATCGGCCGGTAAATTTGCGAGATCTTAGGGGGCCGAAACGCCCCCCCCCCCACGGGTGGTAGGGTCCGCCGATAGCCCTACCGCGGGGCGCGGGTTAAAGGGAGGGAGAGGCCAAAAACTGTAAAATCCGTTTCAAATAGCCCGACTTTACGATACCTAATTGACCACGGTAAAATGTAAAAGCGGATAACTTAGCCATTTTTGAAGATAGCGAACTAAAACTTTCTGGAGTAGGTCACCTGTATTTTTGCTATAACAGATTGTAAAAAAAATTAAGTCAAAAAGTGAGGGGTGAAAATTTGAAGAATATAACTTTGAGACATTATAACTGCTAAAATTTTGAAAATCCAAAAAATGTGAGCTACTACACAAATTGCATTTAAATTGCCTACCACCAACCGCAACCATAACTGTTTGGAGGCTTATAAATGTCAAGCGCCCGTCGCGCTTCGAACTCGAACTGTTAGAATCGTGAACGCGTGCTCTCATCACGCGGAGTCCAGCTATACCGTCTGAGCCAGGGATGATTCCCCCACCTAAGATTCTGCTCTCTTTAAAAAACGGCTTTGAGTTAACGACGTTTTTGTGGGGATGTCCTGCACATTGGTAAAACATTTTTCTAGATTTAGAGCTAAGCGGACAGGCTCGCTGCATGCTGCTTAGTGCTAGCTGCCTAATGCTTACAGCAAGTGAATTGCACAGTCGCCTGCCGCATGGCCCGCATCCGAACGCACCATGTCACCGGCCGGCGGTGACGGTGCATGTCGCAATCTGCATATGTAGTATCTGCCGGTGAGGCACCCGGCACCCCGCTGCCGACCGGGACGCTCTAGCCATACACAGCGTTCGGGCGGGCAGCGGCGGCGCGGACTGGAGGGCCCCGCGCCGCCGCCGCACTATGGTTGGAAACGGCCTCACGGATGGCCGGGGGTCAACGCGAAAAAATGTTTTGCCCATAACTTGTTAATGCGTAGACCGACTGCGATGAAACTTTGCATAGGTATACCAGTGTTTTTCGTGCATCATACAGTAACTCAGAAATGACGAGGTCACGTCACGTCACGCGTGTGTGACGTCATCATTGCAAGTATGTCATAAGTCGCCTATGTCTTTCGTTATGTTATCGATATCGTGAGGCATTTTGAACATGTTTTGAATACTGCTATTACTGAATGGATATTGTTGTTATGCTTTAGGGCGAGAAATATCAACGTAGTGACGCACAGTGTCTTACTATTGGTCATAAAGGGTCACAAATTTGGAGAAAGAGTATTTATGATTTTTTTTTTAGATTAGGCAAAAAAGTAAGAAATAAAATGACGATCAAATGACAAAACATGCGTCAGATTAACCCGGCAGTTGCTGGGGTATTTCCCCATCCGCCGTTTGCCGGGGGGGGGGGGGCGTTCAACGCCCCCAGCCGATAACTCGCGAACAAATAGGCGCAGCGAAACGCACGAGGCGCGGCAAACGAAAGAAGAACGCGACGAGACGATTCACATGAATACTTTAAAGCTGAATTTCGAGGTCACAGGTCGGGTCAAGGTCAGGTCAAACACTTGAAATCGGGCTTTCAGTAGCATGGACTTTAGAACCTCGCAATCGGTGCCTCGCGTTTCGCGTTTCGATTATATCGTCATCAGTTGGTCCTAAATAAATTCAGTCATCAGTTGGTCCTAAACAATCTGTCACAACTGTCACAACTGTCACAACCCTTCATATAAGTGCTAAAAGAGTGTCAGATCAATGTAGGGGTCAGTCAAGCATAGGCCACTGGCCAGGGTCAAAGTCAGGTCAATCAGGTAAGCACATAACCCCGAAAATTAAAACTGGTACCTATCCGCAGCCCATGCATGACACATGTTTTATGGGTACTTTTGGGCGTAGAACACGATGGTGACATTCATTTTATCATACGAGTACGTGGCTGGTTGAAAAAAGATCAATTTCAGAAATGCATGCGTCATGGTCGTGAAGTAGTCACGAGAAATTGCCAACATTCAGTTCAAGATTTTGGAAACTGTAGAACGATGATCAAAAACCATAGATAGCCATTTGATTTGCCATGGTATTGGCAGTGTAATGGAGTTTACAGCATGTCTGTATGTCTGTTCTGTCAGTGGATATCCATATCCATACTCCAGGATATCCATACACGTTTGCACGATATTCATACTCCAGGTGCAGGGGCGAGCAGTTACTTCTTACGAGGGGTGCGGAGTCGAAGTCAGAGTCGGAGTCGGAGTCGGAGTCGGAGTCAGAGTCGCCCAGAGTCGTGGCAACGAGCCAGGAGTCGGAGTCGGAGTCGGGGTCGGTCAGGAGCCCGCAGTGGAAGTCGGAGTCGGTCCGAATCGGAACAGCTCCATCGCGACTCCGAAACACTGGCAGGGGTCCGGAGTCGGAGACAGAGTCGGCCGGAGTCATGGCAACGAGTCAGGAGTCGGAGTCGTAGTCGGAGTCGGATTTGGCGCCACCACGACTCCGCAACCCTGCTTCTTACCATCATTTATAAGGATAAGCGATTGCAAGACTGACGAGCCGACCTGGTGCTAACGAAGCGACGGGTAGGTACGCCTCGGGAGATGACGCTTCACGGACGATTTTGCGCACAAGTGCGCAGTCTGCTTTTACGTTCCCCTTACGCAGAATTGAACAGCGATTTATTCTGCCAAAAAGCTCAATGGAGGTCGATGGAGAACTTTTTGTATGTCCAATGAAACATAAACGCAATTTTGCAAATATTGCTGTGGTGACACTGCAAACAGAATGCAATGCCGTTCCTGATTTTGAACACGCATGGGAAAAAGAGTCACTCCACTCGATAGCCAACATAACAAGGATTATTTTGATATATAATAATCCAGTTTTACAACGTCATGGAGGTACTCCACATGCTATCACCAGCGCGGTTGTTTAAACCTTTGACGGCGCACCAAAAAAGTCACTGTCAGAAACTCCCGATTCCACGTACAATAATGGAGACTAAATGCGCAACTAAATAATTTTTTCTGCCCAATTCAAAACATTTCATCAATTTCCAACAGAATGACACCCCAAATATACATATATTCCGAAATTGCCCACGGCCATCCGTGAGGCCGTTTCCAACCATAGTGCGCCGGCCGCCGAGTCGCCGCCCGCCAGTGACGCGCAGTCCTCCGCCCAGTTAACACTGGACAGACACCCGTCGGCAGTGACCAGACGCAGCAACCAGAGCAGCAGCCGACCGAACAGCCAGATCGACACAAAACACATGTGCGCCGCAGGGCTGAACTCCAAACAAAGGGGCGACGTATATGGAAGGTAAGCGGGTGCAATTTATTTGAACGTATAACTAAATACAGTGTAAATTATGGCGTTGGAGGCGATGGGTGTGTTTTCGCGCTACCTGTTACTAGGCTATTGAGCCACACTAGGCTATTGAGTTAGCGTAAGTAACAAGCAGTAACTTATGCATAAATTGCTGCTAATCCCCCCCCCCCCCCACTCCCCCTCCTGTCATGCGATACGGCCGCTTTCTAATAAGCCGGAGGGACCCAGTGCGTCGCAAGCGTGGTCGCAGCTGCGATGTGTCGCAAGTTGTGTAGTGACTAGTGACTCATTTTCGGAGGGATCCAGTGATAAGTAGTGTTGTAATTATAATGCAATTTTTAGTGCGTTCTAAACATTGTACCCTGGAAACAATGAGGATCATCGTATATATCTGAGTTCAAAAAGCATCTGATATGCACCTTCTTTGTTGAAAGTTTCAGCTTCAAAATTTGACCTTTTGGCCTGACCGTGACCTGAAGTTTGCCATAACTAGCTTAAAGTGGCTTCAGACGGCACAGGCGTTACTATTTTCGAATTCTGATTTCAAAGTTGCAACGTATACTGCTTTGCTACATGACTCCCGTTTCGGGCCACGCGCCTTATAGCCGGCGCTAGACTTCCTCCGACTTGCAGCATGTCTCCGGCGAGATACCGCTTATGTTTGCTCGGACAGCTCATCTTTGAGCTCTACCAAACTCTGTTAGTCGTCCTCGAAGATAACCGTCGGTTTGTGCCCCACAGAAATAAATCCAGGGGCGTAAAGTCGGGTGACTGCGGAGGTCATGAGGTGGCGGTAGTCTTGAAAATCACCCAATCTTCCGTGTAATCCCGGGTGACACAGCAGGGGCGATCTGCGCAAAGCCAATCGTGTTGAAACAACTGCTGGTTGAAGGTGCTGACACGCTAAATACTGCAGCGAACTGAATAATCGCTGGAGGATGCTTTGGCTCCCATATTGGTTTACCGTCCCCGCATTTCCACTGTATAGTCCTCGAATAAAATGGCACCGGTGATAACGGTCGTCAAGTTAGATGTAAGTGAATCCTAATCTATAATCTAAGATTCGGAATCAGGTGAGCCCCTATACGATTTGGACCAAACTTGGTCAGTGGATAGTACGTAACGTCCTGATTACGACGCACCCAAAATCTAAGCTCGGCCCGCCATATTTACGAAGTTACGGATGTTTGAATTTCAAGGTCATTCGGGAGAGCCCCTGCGATTTCCGTCAAAATTTGTGTACAGACACTCTAGATGCTCCTCATTACGGATATCACAAAATTTAAGCTCGGCCCGCCATATTTACGAAGTTACGGAGGTTTGAATTTCAAGGTCATTTGGGTGAGCCCCTGCGATTTCCGTCAAAATTGGTATACGGACATATTACATCCTCCTCATTACAAATATCATATAAGTTAAGCTCGGCCCGCCATATTTTTTAAGTTACGGAGTCACAAAGTTACGGAATTTCAAGGTCATTCGGAGAGCCCCTCCGATTTTCGTCAAAATTTGTATGCGGACACATTACATGCTCCTTATTACGAATATCGTAAAAGCTAAGCTCGGCCCGCACTATTTCAAAAGTTAGAGATGTTTGAATTTCAGTGAGTTTCAAACATCTCTAACTTTTGAAATAGTGCGGGCCGAGCTTAGCTTTTACGATATTCGTAATTAGGAGCATGTAATGTGTCCGCATACAAATTTTGACGAAAATCGGAGGGGCTCTCCGAATGACCTTGAAATTCCGTAACTTTGTGACTCCGTAACTTGAAAAATATGGCGGGCCGAGCTCAACTTTTATGATATTTGTAATGAGGAGGATGTAATATGTCCGTATACTAATTTTGACGGAAATCGCAGGGGCTCACCCAAATGACCTTGAAATTCAAACCTCCGTAACTTCGTAAATATGGCGGGCCGAGCTTAAATTTTGTAATATTCGCGATGAGGAGCATCTAGAGTGTCCGTACACAAATTTTGACGGAAATCGTAGGGGCTCTCCCGAATGACCTTGAAATTGAAACATCCGTAACTTCGTAAATATGGCGGGCCGAGCTTAGATTTTGGGTGCATCGTAATCAGGACGTTACGTACTATCCACTGACCAAGTTTGGTCCAAATCGTAGGGGCTCGCCTGATTCCGAATCTTAGATTATAGATTAGGATTCACTTACATCTAACTTGACGACCGTCCGGTGATAAATCCCTTTTGCGCAAACTGTTCTGATGTTGTGCCGATTGCGATGAAATTAGCCGTTTTCACGACGGGCTATCCGGCGAATGCACCTGATTTGATCAAATCTGCACCTAATTTCTTTTACAGCAAATATCTTCATTTTATGAATTTATTTCAGTGTTTTAATCGATGATGCTCTCTGATAATATGACAAAGCAGGCATATAAGCAGTTAGTGCAACCCTAGCTGATAGCTGCTAAGAAACACACTGAACCTGATTTGACCAAATCTGCACCTAATCTGTACCAGATGTGCACCAAATGTGTACCAGATGGCCGTCGTGAAAACGGCTATTATGAACGTGTCATGAGACGGCAATGCTCGACGCTGTGATGTATCTCTCAGAATCTCTTGATAACGGACAGGCTGCAGGCTGTGGGGGGGGGGATTTTTTGCCCCCTCCCCCTTTAGTTTTTTCGATATATCTCCAGAACCGCTGCGCCGATCGTCACCAAACTTTCAGTACCTTCCCGTGAATAGCTATTGCACATTGTGACCAAAAAATGTTCCAGGGCTGTGGTAGGGTGGCCGCTAATGACGTCGGAGTGACGTCATTTCTGCCATTTTCGACAAAAAAAGGTTTCGCGGGAAGAGCTTTCAGGCCTACAGCTTTGGAGATACAGAAAAATATTTCAACATGAAAGGTGCAGAAATAACAGGGTTACAAAACTGCTATCTCGAATTTTTAAATTTTTGGGTTTGACCCCTAAAAATAAAAAATAGTTTTATAATATAATAGCCGAAAAAAATCCAAAAAGATTTTTTGAATTTCGAAAAAAAACCCGGAATATATGTGATAAGTCCTTACCACCTTCTATCCACATACCAAATTTGAGATCGATACTTCTTTTTTTTGACAAAGTTATAGTGAAAACACTGTTCAAAATTGATGGCGTTAAATTTTAAAACTCAATTTTTAGCAATTTCAGACCTCGTAGCGCAAAACCAGGGCATATTTTAAGGATTTTTCACTGCGTCCCAAAGGTGGCATAGGGCACATGCTTTGATCGGAAAGGGCACATTGCAAGCGAAATAGTATATAATGCAAGTGAGATAATGTACAGATACATTGTATACTGTGCTGGTGGAGGGGCACTGCAAGCGGGATATTGGGAGCGGGCTGTGATTGCTTTTGGCCAGTCTCGAAATTCGCCCAGTCGTAGTGCGTTCTTTATCCGCATTCAAAGGGCGGGCATTTACATTGAAGAAATAGTATGCAGTGCTCTAGCGAGGAACATCTTGATATATGTAGTTAGGATTTTAAATGACCTTTTCCAGCTTGAGGAAAAGGTCATTTAAAATCCTAACGACATTTACATTGTTGTTATAGTCACTCGTTTTCCTGAACGGCGTTGGGCGTGTTTGACCTCTCTTGACGCACCAAATTGTACCTATGCTTAGAGAATAAAATTGAATATGCACATGATTAAAATGTGATACATACGTCTCTTCATGCGTTTTTCACCCTTATCAATCGATTCAAAATAGAGGTTGACGTCTGAAACATTGCCAATTTGCATTGAATATACTATGTGTTTTAAATAATTAGATGACGTAAGGTCAAACAGTACCCACCTAAGTTGCGACAAGAAATTATCGGATTCTAAAGCTACATAAAAAAATCCATCATAGATTAATGCTTTGGATGAACGGATGCTTTCGATGCTTCGGATTTCGCTTCCTTACTGCCTATCATGTAATATAACCCAAACTTTTCCCAATGGAAGTTCCTTTGTTTAATTATTATGCCCAGAAATGTGTCGATTTTGTGCCATTTCCGGGCGCTTTGGGGGAGGGGGAGCATGGCCCCGTGGCCCCCTCTATATCCTCCTATGGCCAGACGGCCATGACGGCCCTGATCTGACCGTATGCCATCAAATGTCAAACATCGCAATGATGCGATATTTTTTTTCGGAAAACGTGCCGGTATCTCAAAAACTATGATAGCTAGGAGGGCGTAATCGATAGGAGAAAAGCAATCGATATATCTTGAACAGCTCTTTTGTCAATATTTCGCCAGAATTGAGTTCAGATCAACGGTTAAGGCTCCATAGCCAAAAACGGGTAAAATTACAATTTTTGTCAATATAGGTTTCATGAAAAGCTTTTGAACTAAAAAAGGTAGAGAATTTTCGTTTGCACGATAGTTCTTCTCTCATTTTTACCTCGAAATGTCAAGGTCAGAACTTGACCTCACATTAAGGTCATTTCGTGACCAAGATAGATCATGTCGCATATCAGTCGATGCGTTTCGATGAGGCACCTCAAAACAATGATACAGTCCACTGTGCATGCAAAAGCCCTGTTGGGCCGGATTTTGGGCCAGGCTCCGGGCCTGCGGGCTCCAACTTGACATCTCTAAACAGGACTTAAGGGAAGGGCAGGACACAGAGTCTGAGCTCTAAGGACAGGGCAGGCACAGGCCATGAAGCTAAGATAAGACGGATCCTACTTGAGGGCTGGGTAGGATGCAGGGTCCGAGGGCAAGGCAAGGCGCGGGTCTGAGGCTATCATTACACAAGGCCGGAGAGTAGTGCAAGACACAGGGCCTTAGAACACCTGATGATCAACACACCTGATGGCAGGGCAACACGCAGGATCTTAGAGCAGGGCAAGAAATAGTACCTAAAGGTAGAGCAAGACATAAGACACAGGTGTGGCACAAGGCCAGAAACACCGCCCACGTCTTGTCATACCTTCGGGCCCCGAAGGTATGACAAGACGTGGGCGGTGTTTCACGGACGCTGCTATCAAA